AAAATGAATAATATAAAAGCAAATAGATTTGTAAAGGTTGGCAATGCTTCGGAAGGCAATACCTTATCGGAATAAAACAAATTTGGAATAATCAAGTAGAATGGTGTTTCGGAATCCAAGGAGGGCGTTAAATAAAGTCTACGCCCGCGACACTAAAAGTTAAGATGTTATACATATTGATAGATCAATTGGATTCGAAACGATTACTCTATAAAGACTCTCTCCAGGGACGGTACGGGCAAATGGGGGAGAAACGTTTGTGTTTCGCCCCTTATTTCAGTATCGTTTTCTACACACTGAAAATCTATTACAAAAAACGGAAAGGCGGATCGGATTAATTATTCACGCTTTATGTTATTATTTGCATTAAATTTGTATCGCCCTTTATTGCAACATGCGCTACGGTTGTTACTATAATGTTAGCCTTAAATCGTTACCACTACATTGCTACTAATGGTTTTTATTTATAAGGGCTTTAATTATTTTCTAGCAATATTACATTTGTTTAAGAAATAATACCTACCATTGTGTATCAGAACAACTAACAGATACGGTGGCGTACACAGAGAGAAATATGTTTCGATCTTTCTATAGGGTGAAAATGTTGACATTTAAATAAAAAATGTCTATGTATAGATATCTTTTTTATTTCAAAGGCAACAAGGTGGGTTAATTTAGACAAAAGCTGCGTAATTACAAGTCTATTAAAATATCATTTGAATATTGGAAATTGGAAATCTGCGGTTATCAATTAATTAAAAAAAAAACTAAAAACCTTTCAAAAACAAAAATCGTGATAACTTCTTCATTGTCCGATTTCTAGCAGATACATGTCATGAAAAGCATAGGAAATTATATTAATTTAAATAATTGGGTATATTTGATTTAAATAGAAAATTTTGAAGTTTTATATACATTTACCGACAGTTTTACAATGTATTTGAACACTTTTAAAGTCCTCTTTAAAATATGTATACGAAAAGAAATCTATTTATTTCATTGCGTTTCTTAAAGTTGTCTTAAAAGATTTGCATTATAAAATTGTTATAAAGCTATTAATTTAATAGGACACACCAATGACGCAAAAATATATTTGAATCCCTTTGAATTATTATCGTTTTTATTGATTTATTTAATTGTATATTTCACTGTATATATAATATTATAATAGTTTAACAAACAGTTCTAAAATAAATGGCAGAAAAATAATAAAATATTTTTTTGACAGATCGATAACGGTAATGTAATATTCAAATTCGTCTAATAAAAAAAAATTGACCAGCTATTTTGTTTTAATTCAATGATGATTATCTTTAAGTACCTTGAACTGCATTCTTTTACCCTTTAATTCGTATTTTTTGTCCAATTTTCTTTTTAAAAAGTTTTAAATGGATCCCACCCGTTTTCAAGAAACTAAATTTTATGACCGCCATAAAGCAACTTTTTACCAAATATCGATTTTCTGTAAAGGGGCTAAATTGAACGCAAAAAAAATTGTCCAAAAAAGGTAAAAAATTTGATTTTCCACCGTTATCGGTGTTCGAGCCACCAGAAACGCTTTTTCACAGATTGCGAGTCTATCCATACATTTTAAGGAGAACCTAGAGATGTACATCTCTAGGTGCTCCTTTACCCACTTTCGGCATCGGCCTATGACCCTATGGGTTATACTTAACAAATTGTTACACAGTAAAAAAAATTTTAACCAAATATTAACCAGATTTTTATGTTAATCCATGTCCACATAACTAATTGAATAAGTAGTTTTTAATTATAACAGACATTTTGTTGATTTAATAAAACAATTTTGACTCCCATTTATAAAAGGGTTTTAACTTGAAACATAATTAATAAAAATAAAACATTAATTGATTGTTTTAAAACTAAACTAGATAAAATATAATAAAGATTTTTCTTATAACTTTTTGTATTTTTATTTAAATTGTAAAATATAGTCCAAACAATATATATATATATATATATATATATATATATATATATATATATATATATATATATAATATAAAAATTTCCCATGTTATTTAAATGGGAAATAGAAAATTACAAAACGCCACATCTAAATATTAATATTAAGAGCTCTTACTTTCACAGGGTCATTTTCTAGAGATACTCTGACGAATTTTCAATGTTCTTTGAAAAAAAAAAATAGTCGGTTTTTTTGAGACACTCTAATATATATATATATAGTGTGTTCCATTTAAAACGAACCACCCTAAATTTCTCGGAACCTGAAATTTTTTTGAAAAAACGCAGAGACACGTAAAGTTTTATATCGAGGGGGACAACTTTTCATGTCAAATTTTGGTTTCTCACCCCTACCCCTTGCGCCCAGGAGCTACCCCCTTAAGAATTTAAATAGGGAAGGGGTATCGACCAATACATCATTTTAAAGGTCTTTAAAATCCCTATACATCAATGTTTTATTTTTTTTAAATCGGTCTGTTTATTTTTGAGATATTTAAAAAAAAACATGCAATATGCTTTTAAAACTTCCCACCTTAAATTTTTCGAAAACTGGAAGAATTTGGAAAATACGCGGACACTCATAAAGTTTTATATCGAGGGGCACATTTTTTGCCGCTACTGCTACTTTAACCTCCTTGAGTTCTGCAACCCCTAACTCAAAAATCCTAAATTGCAAAAAGTATCATGTAGCACATCATTTTAAAGCTCGTTTAATTTGCAATACAACTGTGTAGTTAGTTTTGTAATTTATCAGTTGGTTCTCAAGAAAAAAAAACAATATTTATTGTTTGTAAATTGGTTTTTACTAAATCTAAACGAATAGGTATACAAATTTATTTATCAATTACAATTAAAAATAAAAAATAATAATATTTTTAGGTCAAATGTTCAAAATGTCCCCCGTTCTCTTGCAAACAATAATAAAGCCTGGATTCAAATCCCTCCCTCACATTACGGAACATCGCTGGAGTTATTTGACGGCACTCTGTTATAATCCGTTGACGTATTTCATCCAAAGACGCAGGTTGTGTCACGAAAACTTTCGACTTAAGGTATCCCCACAAAACCCACTCTACAGGACCTAGGTCTTCGTCCAATCCAACGTTCAGTATATCGCATATCTAGATGCCGACGAACTGGAGCTGCGTAATGAGGAGGAGCGCCGTCTTGTTGAAAATGTAAGTCCTGTTCAGCAAGCAAGGGATCATCTTCCAAAGTTTGGGTTATCAAGGCATCAATTTCATTTTCCATCATGTTTAGATACATTTCGCTGTTCAAATTACCTTGAATAAACAGAGGTCCAATTAAATGGTCCCCCAAGATTCCTGCCCAAACATTCAACTTTTGCGGATGTTGAGTATGAACTTCCCTGTATAAATGAGGATTTATATCACTTCAAAACCTGCAGTTATGCCTATGGACCTTGCCATTGAGAGAGAAAGTTGACTCGTCCGAAAAGCAAATGTTGTACAACAAATTTTGATTTTGAATAAGACGGTCACTCATGATTTCGCAAAATTTCTGTCTTTTATCAAAATCGTCTTCATTTAATTCATGTACCAGCCGAATTTTGTAGGGATGAAACTTGTTTTTGTGTAAAATTCTAAATACGTTAGTGCTGCTCACGCCGGAAGTTGCAGATATTTGCCGTATTGACTGCGTATTTGGCATAAGCTGGATATGTCCCAATACCGCCACAGCAGCTCCTTCGTCATGCACAAGTCCTCTGGAAGCTTTTTTTATATTTAAAACTGAACCCGTTTCAACAAAGTTTGAGATTAATTCTCCGATGTATTTGTGGCCAACATTGCAATCAGGGTGATTTTCGTTGAACACCCTTGCAGCTCTTCGAGCACATTTTTGATTTTCGTAATAGCAGCCTACCAACTCAACACGTTCTTGTAATGTGTACACCATATTTAAACAATTAAGCATAGTGATTTACAATGCATCGAACGTTCAAACATTAGCGTTCTTAGGTAAAAACTTTATTTATCAACAATAAGCAAAAAACGATTGACGACAAGTAAGTTATTTTAAATGATTTAGTTCTTCAAACAAAAACAGTAAAAAATTTATTAGAATGTAATTCATAGGCATTGGTTTTTTCTAAATCTTCATCTTCATCGATGAGATTTGTTTAGTTCCGAAATTTATTATACATAGACATTGGAGATTCAACTCACCAAAGCCGTTTTGACCAAATTTTGCAGGATTGATACGGTAATAACAATAAAAAATGTTTTTTTCTTTACAACCTATCGGTAAATTACAAAATTACACAGTTGTATTGCAAATTAAAAGAGCTTTAAAATGATTTGTCACATATACCTTTTGAAATTTAGGATTTTTGAGTTAGGGGTTGCAGAACTCCAGGAGGTTAAAGTAGCAGTAGCGCCAAAAATGTGCCCCTCGATATAAAACTTTATGTGTGTCCGCCTTTTTTCCAAATTCTTCCAGTTTTCGAAAAATTTAAGGTGGGAAGTTTTAAAAGCATAGGTATTGCATGGTTTTTCTAAAATATCTCAAAAATAAACAGACCGATTTTAAAAAATAAAACATTGATGTATAGGGATTTCAAAGACCTTTAAAATGATGTATTGGTCGATAAACCTTCCCTATTCAAATTCTTAAGGGGGTAGCTTCTGGGCGCAAGGGGTAGGGGTGAGAAACCAAAATTTGACATGAAAAGTTGTCCCCCTCGATATAAAACTTTACGTGTCTCGGCGTTTTTTCAAAAAAATGGAACACACTGTATATATATATGTGTGTATATATATATTTTTTTTTTGTTGTCATTTTTTAAATTTTTTAAGATCAATACAATAGATTTAAATAAAAAAGTGCAGTCTATGTAAATATTGTTTATTTGCAATGTGCATTAACCACATCCTAAACCCAACGGTCAGGAAGAAGAGTGGAAAATTATATAAACAAAATAAGGAAACAATGTATTTCTTTTAGATTAAAATTGATAAATATTTAAATAAAAGGTGAAATCTTTAAGAGTAGAATTCAGTTTTGTCTTTTCACTTCTACAGTTTAGAACAACCGAAAGGGTAACTAATGTCTTTTAAAAATAAATCATTTTTAGTAATATTAATAATTTTTAACGACTACATTATAGAATTTTTAAGATGGCAAGCAAAAAAAAACATTTTGTTGCTCTTTGACCGACCAAAGGAGCCCGTTTTTATGGTTAAAGGTAAAGAAAATGCCGTTTTTGATGTTCCACAGGAGTATCTGGTATGCTTTTTAGTTGAAATTAAATTATTTTAATTATAATTATTATTATTAAATTTTAAATTAGGATGATAAGTATAAGCCAATTGGTGCTCAAATCGTTAACCGCTTTGGAGAGGACGCTAGCGAAAAAATTCCTGTCTCTAGAATTTCCCTGCCACCACTGGGCGAAATTCTGGAGTTAAAGCGTAACGAAAACTTTTCCCTTTTCTTGCCCAAACACCGTAGGATCGCTGGCAAGCTTATAGACATTTTTCTAGGTATGAAATTTAAAATACAATACTTAATAATAATTATTATTTATCTAGGTATGCGTAATGTGGACGAATTACTTTCTTGTGCTGTCTATGCCAGAGATCGTGTAAACCCATATCTGTTTAACTACTGTCTCTCTGTTGCCTTGTTGCATAGACCTGATACCCAAGACATCGATTTGCCCTCTTTTATTAGTTCTTTCCCTGATAAATACCTTGACAGTCAAGTTATCGGCGAAGTAAGGGAACAAGCCACCATTGTACCTGATGGATCCAGAACTCCCATCGAAATCCCCAAGGATTACACTGCATCTGATTTGGAAGATGAACATCGTCTTGCCTACTTCAGGGAAGATTTAGGAATTAATCTTCACCACTGGCATTGGCATTTGGTTTATCCATTCGAAGCTGCTCGTGTTGTTGTGGACAAAAATAGAAGAGGGGAATTGTTCTACTACATGCATCAGCAAATTATGGCTAGATACAACTTTGAACGTCTCTGCAATGATCTTAAGAGAGTGGACCGTTTGGTTGAATTAAAGGAACCAATTAAAGAAGCCTATTTCCCGAAATTAGACAGCTTGGTTTCAAGCAGAGCATGGCCTGCCAGAGTAACCAATCAGACTTTATCAAACATAAGAAGAGAAACTGATCAAGTCTCACAAGATGTCGATGATATTATAAGGTGGAGGGATAGAATTTTAGAGGCTATTCACATGGGAGTCGTTCGAAATGTAAAATAACAACCTTAACTTATTTTAATTTAAAACTAATACAGTAGGTACATTTTAGGCTCAAGGCCAAGATATTCCTTTAACTGAAAATGAAGGCATTGATATTTTGGGAAACATGGTAGAATCGAGCATTTTGTCGCCAAATAGGGAGTTCTATGGTGATATGCATAATAGTGGACACGTGTTTATCTCGTACATTCACGATCCAGACCATCGTCATTTAGAAACCTTTGGAGTCATGGGTGATTCAGCTACTGCCATGAGAGATCCAGTTTTCTACCGTTGGCACGCATTTATCGAATATATTTTCCAACAATTTAAGAATACTTTACCTACATACACGCCTCAACAGGTAAATGAATAAAAAACAAAATTAATTCCATTTCACGTATGATTTATAGTTAGATTTCCCTGGAGTCGCCGTACAAGATGTTGAAATTGAAACCCAAAATAGCAAACCAAATCAAATCAACACCTTCTGGCAACAATCTGACGTAGATCTTTCCAGAGGCATGGACTTTCAACCTAGAGGCTCAGTATTTGTAAGATTTACTCATCTTCAACACAGGAACTTTACCTACAAAATAAAGGTAAATAACAACGGCAATGGCAACAAGCAGGGAACATGCAGAATCTTTATTGCTCCGAAATTTAATGAAAGGGGCAACCCATGGAGTTTTCGCGATCAGAAGAACATGTTCATTGAACTTGATAAGTTTGCAGTTAATTGTAAGTTAACAAACTATTGTCTTTTATGCTAATGTTTATAGTTATACTTATAATATATTATGTTTGCAGTGAAGCAAGGTAAAAACACCATTACCCGCTCTTCAACTCAATCTTCCGTGACCATTCCATTCGAACGTACTTTCCGCAACTTGGATAACCAAAGACCTACTGGTGGAGAGGATTTGGCCCAATTCAACTTCTGCGGTTGCGGATGGCCACAGCATATGTTGGTACCAAAGGGCAAAGCTGGTGGATTCCCTTGTCAACTGTTTGTGATGATTTCCAATTTTGAAGGGGACAGGGTACGAATATGTTTAAATGTTTAATATTCTAATATTTGTAATTATTTTTTTTGTATTTAATTTGTTTGTTTTTAAAAACAGATTAACCAAACCACTGAAGGTGCTTGTAATGATGCTGGAAGTTACTGTGGTATCAAGGACAAGTTGTATCCAGACCGTCGTTCCATGGGATATCCATTCGACAGACTTCCAAGGCAAGGAGTTGATACTATTCAGCAGTTCTTGACTGGCAACATGAGAGTTCGTGATGTTAATATTCAATTTGAAAATCGTACTTTCAGACCCAGAGAAGTTGGAATAAACTAGACTAGAATATATATGACGACCTATGAATGTATTTAAATTAAATCTATGACTCTATATATATAATAATTAATTTAAAAAAATATATTCCTATTTTAAAATGCATTTATTGCTTTTTATTTAATAAAATTAAAAATTTTCAGAAAGTTTTTAGAGTTAATTGATAATAACAAAGCTATCTTTAAAAATTAAAAATATAAATTTATACACAACTCTAAAGTATTGAGCCTTAATATTTTAATATGTTTTGTCTTCTTATATTGCATAATATTGGGGTTTTTCCGTGAATAATGATAAACATTATAAATTCCCTGCTTACTAACGGGAATAATTAACTCATTATTTACGTTGTTAGGCATCAGTGATTGGCCGATTTCAATATTTATTGTGATTAAAACCAATCGGGTTTTAAATTGGGAGAAGGCGACTATAATAACATTTAACCCAAGTTCCTTAAAAATATTATTCGACCATATTTTATGACAAACTACCTTTAATTTTCTAAAAATTATCGTCTGGTGAAATTCTGATGATCTAAACTGGACCACCCTGAATATTCTAATTAATCGGATACCCATTTAATTTATTAAGTTGATAAATCGTATTAATTATTAAAAATGGGTACTATAACTAAAAATGGCAATCCAGCCGTATACAAATTTGGGTTATTTTTGAAAAAGTATTATAATAATAATATAATATGTATTATTATAATAATATTTAATGTTTTTATTTTTTCTGGTAATTTTCTATATAGTTTTATTCCAGCATATGCTGGAGAACTTTCGGTTTTTTTTGTTTTGTGTTTTTGTATAATCAGCTCATTTCGATTTCTAGTTAAATAATTGTGACTGTCAGATCCCACTTCATACCTATGAATATTTTGCTTAATATATAACAAGCACTTAAATATATACATACAGGGAAAAGTAAGAATTCTTTTCTGCTGAAACGTCTTTTTACATGATTGAACATAATTAAGGCCAAAAATTAAACGAATGATTTTCTTTTGAGCAGTGAAAATTCGCCCGCTTTCTACGCAATCTCCCCATAATATTATATTATATGACAAATGGCTATAGACTAAAGAATAATACATTCAACAATTGGTTCTCGTTAAGTATATTTTTTAAATTTAGTATAGCAAAGAATGATTTGTTTATTTTACTACAAATATTATCAATTTGACCAAGCCATCTTGTGCCACTATCAAGAATATATAATTTAAAGTTTGGGATTTATGAAACGAACTGTCAGAAAAAGGCTCTGTTGTATATTTTATTTCCTTAACAAAAAATTGCTGGTACTGCAGGTAACTTTTTTATGGTAATTTGATTACAATAATGTTGCTTAATCAGCTTTTGTTTTTAAGATATTGTAAAAAACTGTTTTTTTGATATCCAAACATTTAAATTCGTATAAAAGTAGAAACATGAACCTACAATGTTTGTTAATTTTATTTAAATTGTACAAAAAATGTTTGCTTAAAAGCACTAAATTTTGAAAATTGCCGAATTTTGGCTAAAAAACATGATTTTTGAGAGGGATAAATTTATGAAAGTCTATAATTTAGTTTTTAGTTAGGATTCATAACTAAATGATCCTTGGTTAAAGTATTAAAAAAGTTATAAAACCAAAATAATTTTTGAGATGTAGTCAATTATCCATATATTGATAAAGATAACCGTTTTAAAGAAACTCTACAAAAATACCATTGAAATATATAAAAAAATAGTTTGTGGGTACAATTTTTTAAAAATCTATTTTTTTAATACTTTGATGCTCTAGTGGTAAAATTTTACCGATGAAATTTTTGATTTTTATACGAATACGAATTTCTTGAAAATTTCGCAAGTGGCCACGAGCCACTAGGCGAGGATGCAGTACCATGCAGTTCTTTTACTATGTCTTTTTTTACTATGCATATTTTATAAATTTTTAATAAATTTGATTTAATTTCTTTGGTTTGAGTTTTGCTTGACAACCAAATGATCCGATTTCAAAAAACTGTTTTTAATTTAAATCTACTGATATGGTTAAAATTTAAAAAGTTGTCAAAAATTATTTATTAATTAATATAAATATTATTTAATTATATAAGAATTAATCTTAACATTTTACTAAAATTTTAAATTTTAATGACTTTAATTTCACATTTTAAAATCTTGGTTTTAGAGATTCGACTTATGACGTGTTTTGTGGAAAACTAAATTACCTTCTTCGGGGGCCAAAAGGCCGAAACTATGCTTGATTGGATTCATAAAAAAAGTTTTAAAAAAAACATAAAATGTGAAAAAAACAGTGAAAAAAATCTGAAAAAAGAACAAAAAAAAACGGATGTTTTTTTAAAGTTACTCTATTATTCCCAATATTAGAATGTTTTGTTTGGCTAAAGCGTATACACATGACATGAAAATAAAAGTTTCTTTTGGATAATAGGAACTTCAAAAAGTAATCCCTGAAAAATGATTTGATTTTGATTTACTCATTTAATGAGTATAATAGACAATTTCGCTCGTGACATTAATTGCGAAATTCCCAAACAAAAAACTTACATAGTTATAAGGTTTAAAAATTGTATCGATAAAATTATTTCACTGGTGGTATTATTTAAATTTTCGTACATTATACGAACATTTAAATAATCCCGGCGCATTCGCCATTATTTTAAATTGTACGTACTAATATATTAGTACCAATAGGTATAAATATAAAATAATATTATCGATACAATTTTTAAACTTTATTTTATATATTATATATATGTAATATATTAAATTTAAAATAAATTTAATGTAATTAAATTATATTATAATAATTTCTTGACAAAAAAAAAGTATAACAAAAAATATACCTGTATAAGGTACGATATTTTTTTACAAATAACGACATCTGTTAAAATAGGCAATATAATTTAAAACTTTAATAAAGATATCTACAATTTTTTTAAACGCCTTCTATTGAAATGGACTCCCCTACTTTTATATTCTCGCCCTTTTATAGGTGATATCTGTAGCAATAGGGGGTAGTGCATGTGCAAATATAGAAACCTGTATTCATTTTATAAATTATATCTATTTATTCACTGTTTTAGTTCAGCTATTCCTTCAACAGATGGCGTTAGTTATCAAATAATACATATACTTATCTTACTTATGTGGTAAGTATATGAAATAATATCACACACTTCACCACATGCACATTGTGCATAATATGTAATATGTCTACTCGGAAAGAGCTTTTTTACTGTTAACCTTGTGATTTTTTTAAAAATTTATTATTGAGATCATTAAGAAAATGCTATTTTTAACGTACAGGGTGTCCCGCTTAAAGTTGATGCCCTATTATTTTCTTGAATAATTTTCCATGAATTTTTCAAAGAATTTTTTAAATATGAGTTTGATTTTCTTTACAAAAATACAGAGATGTTCAGAAAAAAATTCTATAGATTGTCTCAAGATGAAATATATTACACCTATAAGTATTTACTCAACATATCACAATTGAAGGGGCAAGCGGATGAAGGGGTTAAGTAACATTTTTAATAATAAAGGACAACAAATATTGTAATTGCAATACCAAATTTATTTTTATTTAGAACCAAAATTTGTTCTTTTTCAACTTAAATTTAACATTAACCCCTTCAAACAAAAAAGATTGTCATTGCAATACTAAATTTATTTTTTATTACAATTACAATATTGTTTGTCCTTTATTATCAAAATCGTTACTCATCCACTTGCCCCTTCAATTATTTGAGATAATAAACTCACTAGTAAAGAAGAATTAAACAATTAGCAAGACATGATTAATTTGCATGCTGACAAATTTCTGCTGTCACAAAAATGAAAAATGCGTTATTCTTTGGAAGAAAGTTGAAATGTTTTTCTATAAATCTGATAAAAATGCGTATGCTCCGGCAAATCATGACTTGATTATTGTTTAATTATTTTCTAGATCTATGAAATAAAATATATATTTTTCTATAATACAAAATATATATTTTTTTGAGATAAAGAAAATCCAATCTTATATTCAAAAAAAACATGAAAATTTATACAAGAAATGTTTTTTACCGAGAAAAATATCTGAGAATAAGAAAAATAATGACAGGGTCAACTTAAAGCGGGAAACCGTGCAATCAGAATAAATTAGAAATGTATAATAATTATAAATCGTGATATTTTGTTTTGAAATTACATTTTTAAATTACTTAATTAATACTTCGATTTAGATTTTTTTACTTTGTAGTCGTGCATGCACATAAAATCCCTCATTTCGGACATCGTCACGAACCTATGACTCTATAATAAATATCTAAGTCACAGTTGGTCACAATGTTCCGAATGACCATCCTGTCTTCGGTAAAAATATTTTTTAAATTGTGATTTTGTACATAAATTTAATAAAAAAGTAGTTAATTTCCGAGCTGCAGTCGCGGAATCATTAGTTACCTTTTTATTTTTCCAAACTTGTTGAAAAGTAATTAAAATTATTATTTTTTTGATAAAAGAAATTGTAGGTAATTTTTATCACGGTTTAAAAAATATTTTGAAAATTGATAAAGATAATAGTAATATAAAATAAAAAATATTTTTGACTTTTTATTCTAAATCCACAATTAAAAAGGTTTATCTTCAAGCGTTCTATAATTTAAGCTTTATTATTGTTAACGCTTACTACCTAAGTATTCGATTATCTCCTAATTATAATTATTTAGACCAATCAGTTTTTTAAATCCTAGGGCCGGTTTTTCAATCGTTGGTTAAGTTTAACTCACGGTTAACTTTCTTAGCTTAGATACTATTGTGTTAACAATAGTATCTAAGGAAATTAACCGTAAGATAAAGTTAACCAACGATTGAAAAACCGGCCCCTAGTGTAAAATCAAAAAATTCGATAATTGATGACAACTCTGAGCTAACTAACCTCACTTTATACTACAATAATTTTTATTAAATTTGTTAGTACGTTTTATGTATCGTTTAACAAATAAAACTGTGTCTTTTTGTGCTTCACTCAATTGTAGGCCTCTCTTCTCAGCCTTTTGACATAAATAACTATTTTTCAATTCTGTACTCTTTATAGAAAAACTGTAGAGGTAT